CAGAAGGTACTGTGCGATAAGAAGTCGTCGCGGCAGCCTGATTAAAGCAGTCAGCAGTCAGCATACCTGGACGACCGAGCGACAAGCTTACGATTGGTTTACCGGACACATGTTGGACTTTATTAGCAGGTGGCAGAGGATCACTGGCAGACAATTCGGACACGATGGACTTTCAAGGGGTGAGAAACCCTTTTCCGCTAGACACCCGGACCAGCTCACCGAGGCCCGTCCCCTACGTTGTTGCGTTGCGTCCAAAGACAGCTCGAGGCCCTTTCGGCTACCTCGCCCAGTTTTTTGAGTGTTCGTTTCCTTTCATTACCGCGCAATCCTAGTTCTTTAACCACATTGTAGAGCGAAGTGGAAACGAGGCCTCTCGCTCCCACTTTGACGGCAAAGACCCGTACTGTGTACGCCTCGTTTCTCCTCAGACCGGCTGCTAAATCACTGTATTTCTCGAGCTTATACATGTGATTCTCTTCCATACGCGACTCATACGGGACGGTCAACTCAATCAGGATGAGCTGCCGTTTTTGCGCAGAGTGGAGAACTATGTCAGGTCGCAGGCCGGTCTTCCGGATCAACTCGGGGTACCTTTCATGGCCCGGCAGATCAACCGCCAGTAACCAGTCCCTCGCAGAGTCTAGCACAGATGGAGCGAATGCGTTTTGGTTGACCTTACCTTTTGGAACCTGTCCAGCCTTGAGGAAACGAATGGGGACACTGGTAGAACTGGCTCTGGCGTTAGCCCTCATTCTAGCCTGGTCAACAACGGCTGCTAACTCTTTTAGCACCTTGTTGTGTCGCCAGGTATATCGGCCTTGACCTAGGACTTTCCTGCACGCGGACAGGACGTGTTCTAGAGTCTGCTTCGCTTTACACAACGGGCAAGTCGGATCGTTAGTCGCAGACAATTTAACCATGTTAACACCGGACGGTAATACATCGTACGCCGAACGAACGATAAAGCTCAGTCGCAGCGGGGTCATCCGCCAGATCTCACCCCATGTGAGTATTCTTGGCAATGCGCTCTCCAGGCTGACCCAATGGCCCTGCTGCGACTGCTGGGCTGCTTTCTGAACCCGAACCTCGTTTTCGTTGTCCCTCACCATTTGGCTGAGGCCTTTGACCACCAATTGACCTTCCCGTGCCCTAGGCCTCGACGGTCGGTTTGAGTGTTTCCCATTATCTCCTTCAATTTTAGTGCATTCTGGGCAGATTCTATCGCATCGAGGACTCTCCACTTCTGGCCAGTCTTTAGAGCGGGCTGGACAGCGATGACATTTGGGTCTGAGGACTCGCGCAAGAGCATGGCGAGTCTTACTTTGCCAACCTTAAACTCTTCGGTTATCGATTTGAACGGGAGTACCAGCTTAGCCTGCTTGCAATACAGAGCCACGTCGGTCAGACAAGGCGGTGCACCAATCCACTTTCTTAAGGCTGTGTTGATTTTCTTCTCTATAGTTTCCACTGCAGTCATCGTCACCTCGTAGACTAACAGTGGCCATAGGAGCTTTGGAATCAACATGAATTGGAGACACCATACCTTGAACTTCCCGATCAGCCTGCAACGCTCGATCGCGAGCAGGCCTGTAGCCAGTGACTCTCGTGTATTCGCCGGACTTCCGCTCTATCAGATAACTTCGAATCGTAAACGCGACCGAGGCTCTTCACCGGTTCATCCAGAACCGTGGGGATCTTGTTCCTTGCCACCGTAAAAATGGTTGCCGACACCTTGCCCTTAAGGATTGACAGATTCCTCGACTTCTGCGGTTTGAACTGCATACCGCTCCATTGGACCACCGCGTCCAATCTTTTCAGGATCGTGCGGGCAGACTCCTCGCTGCCCGTTATTATAGTCGTGTCATCCATAAATGCGCGTAGTGGCGGCATCCAGTGATCCCCTATCTGAAGGCCCAGTCCGTAGCCGGCCGCCCCGTCTAACATGATCTGCATGGCCATGACAAACAGTATAGGTGAGATCGTACACCCTATAGCTATCCCAATCTGCAACTCAGTCCACCTCGTGGTAAACGTCGAGGCAGAGAAGCGCAAAGCGAACTTAGAGAGGGAGGCATAATTATCCATTAATTTCCAAAATTAATGTCAGTAAGTTAGAATTGTGTAAGGTTCTAATCACTTTGGGACCTGAGTGCAGGAACTGGTAAGCTGCTGCTACAGAATCAGACGGTCAACAAATGATTCATGACAATTTCCGCCCAGGTGATGTGATTGTCTATACAGGTGGCTCTGTGTTGAGGGACAGACGAAGTGCATGGGGGTTCATAGCGAAGGCGAATGGACGTCGCTTGGTGCAACAAAGCCTGGCATATGATATCACAACGTCTAGTTTAAGAATGGAGGTGGAGGCAATCACTGCTGCCTTCCGTTGGCTTGAGAATCAACTGTAAACACATGCCGTCATTGTAACTGACTCACAGAGCGTGCTGAGAAAGATGGAGACAGGCATGCTCCGTGCATAGTGGCAAGCTTCACTTTTAAGGTCCCTGGAAGTTAACATCCTTTGGATATTTTCTCCAGGTCATACCGGTGTGTTGGGAAATGAGCAGGCAGATAGACTGGCTGGTTCTGCACCACTTGGTGGTGAACTGATGTACGACAAGCTGGATGTTGTGAGGGTCCTTTGGGAGCTAATGAGCAGTGCCGAGGGATCATTACGGTCTGAAGAGAATGGCACTGCGAAGAGTTACAAGGGGATTTGGCCGACGCTCGACACTCAAGAGAAAGGCGAGACGGATATACAGTCAAACAGTTTATGGTATCATCGGAAGTTTAACTCTTTGCTTGCTGTTGAAGATGGGGACGGAGGGCTTATGGGAGTGTCCCGAGTGCTGTGATGTAGATTCCTAATTCAACATTCACAAATTTAGTTTAGCTAGACTGGTGTTATGAAGCTGACTAGTTCTATCTCCTTCTCGTTTAGACTGAGATTTCCTGAAATTTTTTTTTTTTTTTAGGAAACGGGTATCTTTATTCGTGTTAAGAGAACACGCAGAAGTAGAGTCCATCGTCGTGCGTATAGAGTGAACTATATCTGCATTTCTTGTGAATACAGAAGTTGCACTTGCAACACTGATTGTGAATATAGTGTAACCACTTGTCTAGCGCTCGGTGGTTGTAAATCTTTTCCTGGATCGAGAAACTCCTTATATTGGTTCGTAATTCCTTGACCCCATAACATTTATACTTATCCAGCTATTAGTATTAATTAATAATACATTTTTATTCACCATACTGAGTTAAACTCAACAAGACATGGCGAAAACCAGTTTAAAACTTGCTTCCTACTGTGACCTAATTATTTCAGTAGTCTTTTGTCGTCTGTCATTGCTGGGAGGACTGGCAGGGTTGGATGACTCATTGGTTCGGAAGCTGAGCCCAGGCGACAGGCCAAGCCTATAAATATATCCACACACTGCATTGCTATATTTGGTCACACAAGTTCACTAAGTAATAACGCTGACGTTTTGTCGATCTTTAGCTGCGCGCTTGCTTATTATCTGATACTGTCTATATACTATAGTAATTACTTAAATTACTCTATACTGTTTTATATACCACTACTCGCTACCATATCATATAGTATAGAATAGTAATAGTTAGTATATTTTATAATAATAATATTAATATATAAAGAGCCGGCAGTCGGTTTATTATTTAATTATTTAAACTAGTAATTCATATTATATTAAAATAAAATAATACTAATACTACATTTTTACGTTCTCCTTACTGAGACTATTCATATTCATTACTAGTAATAGTTGACAAGTAACAGTCATTTATTTTTTTAATATGAATGAGTATCCAATAGTAGTTTTTAATTCTAGTAGAACTTGTACTTAGGAAGTTGTGTTTAGAGTAATAAGAGTTTAGATCACTATATGTTAACTAAGCTTTTTCACTGTATTTTTTATTCACGGCTGGTGTAATTCTGTAATTGTATTTGTACAGTATTATGGACACACTCAAGGGTTTCTGATCATCATGTCAAGTTATTAAAACTAGTGTATAATTATTATTATGCTATTATTATTACTAATAATGTTTTATCAATTATAAGGAGTCAAGGGTATATTAAGTGCATCTTGAATTTAACTGATTAGTTTACATAATGTTAGGCACAGTACCGGTGAATGATTTCATAGGACATCACAAAATTGAATGGTTTGGTCATCTGGTCAGAATAGAACAAAATTTGCCAGCTTCTAGAACAGGGCTGTTCATTTAAGTTTTTTAAGTTGTGCAAACGTGGATCATCACAAGACAGAGGCCAGAGTCCCAGCAAAGAAAGATTAGTCACACAATACAACTGGCAGTGATCTGCTGGCTATTTGCTAGGCCTCCATGGGCCACCGGTTGAAGGGTCCTGTTCTAGAGCATACTGCATGAGAACAGCAGGCTACAAGGCAGAAAGCAGACCAAGAAAAATATGTAGGGTGAGACGCTACATAAGCGCAATTTGACATTAATAGAAGCTATGCAGCCAGCAAAAGACAGGAAACTACATCTAACTCCTCTCTGCAACACTTTGCACATAAGCAGTTGGACAAAAGAAAAAGAATGTTATATAATGTATTATATACAGGTTAAGCGATTTGTGAAACTGCTATGGCTATATTAGCATTTAGTAACAAATAAAACAAAAATAAATGACAATCAATCTCAGGAGAATTCATGTTACATGTTTGTTACCTCTTTTAGAACCAGACACTGTTCAATTGTAAGGGAGAGGGGTAATTTTTTAAAAGCCAATCCTGTGGTTTTTTTTACAGTTGTATGAGAGTCGGGCTGTTGAAGAGACTGGGACTTCAGCGCGTAATTTTATCGCAAACAGCAGTGGGTCCACTGAAGTCACTTTGATTGTGGAGATTGCAAACATTTATATTTATTATTATGTAGTTGGTAATACAGCATTTAAATTGATAACACATTTAACATTCTGATCCTCAGGTTCACTAAGTAATTCATAACTTTCCAAGATGTCGAGCAGAAAGACAAAAGGCAAAACAACCAAGAAGCGCGCTCAGCGTGCAACCTCAAATGTCTTTGCGATGTTTGACCAAGCACAGATACAGGAGTTCAAGGAAGCTTTCAACATGATCGATCAAAACAGAGATGGGTTTATTGATAAGGAAGACTTGCATGACATGTTTGCATCTCTAGGTATGATCATATATTTTTCACTTGGGAGAAAGTAAATCTTTGACATTTTTCTTCATGTTCAATATTTATTATAAACTTATGTGTATATATGCCTGCATACATCTTTTTCTATGCCAGTTACCATTCCATGTTATACATTTTATAAATTTATGTGTATTTGTTCTACTTTTGTTCCTGGAAAAGATAAAGGTTCTGATAAAATAATTAGTCAGATCATGCTTAAATATATAAAATTCAGTGGCATTAGTTTGGGATAAGTATAGAAATTTCTGCATCTAAGAACACGAAAAAACAACGGATAGAAAAGTATCACAGAGACAAAGATCAGAATTGGACAAGCAAAAATTTATGAACCTTTTTTTCCAGTAAATTCCTTACATTTGAGATAAGTAAAAATCTTCTTCCAATTTAATTAGAGAAAATGTTACCAATCAGCTGTGTATCCTGAAAATCAGTAAATGTGCATTTTTCACCTCTTCACAAAGAACACCTGTTCTTTTCTTCTCTTGAATGCCTCACATTGTCAGGATATTAGGAGCTTCAGAATAAATTAGACACTGTGATTTTTCTTGTCTTAGTTATGCCACATATCTGTTTATTGGTGGTCTTAAAGTTGTTGTTCTGCAGTGGAGTGTAAGCCAAAATTAGAAGTAAAAATGCTTTGAAAGAGACTAAGATGTGAAGACCAGTTAGCACGAACACTGGTATGAAGCAGTCCTGATTTTGAGAAGAGAAAAAGTATGTGAGAAGATTTTTGATTCCCTCATATCATGACACAGAAAGGTATTACACAATTTGATACATGCTAATGGAATTAAAGAATGTTGAAAAGCATGATTACCCATGCTAGCTTCAAAGCACTTAATAAAAATTATGGTTGATCATGGATGAAACAAATGGAATAGTAAGAAGGAAACAATCAGTAGTTTTAATTAAGAGGGCTCAGAACAAAATAGCTTTCACTTTTGGGGGTGCGTTAAGTATTCTGTTAAGATGTATCACAAGTGATATATTTTATGTTATTAAAGGAAAAGATAGTCCCAAGGAAGATACTACGACTGGGGTGTACTGTGTTACATCTTCACACATTTCAAGCTATGACATACAAAATGGAATGGTCAGTTCCTTTCTGACTGCCTTTCCTACCCTGACAATTCAAACAAATTATAAAATTATCCTTATATCTATTTTTATTGGCTGTACTTCTTCAGGGCAATAAGGACCACTGCTTTGGCAGACAAGTACACTAGGCGCTAAACTACATCACATCATTTTACAAAGGCCGTTAAGAAAGTAATGCCACACATTTTGTCCCTCACAGACTGCTAAATGTATTAAATTCATGGAACAGTTTGTTAATTAGTCTGTAATGATAATGTATGTAGAAGGATGAACACTAACATATTCATAAAAAATATAACTCATTATGTCCTTTACAATGTCTTATTTTCTATATAATCTTTGTCTACTGTGAACTAATATCCCATATCTGTATCAGGTTTTGTCCTGTTTACATAGACATTGCTTCACAGTATAAATAACATCTTCAGGTCCATCTCTGCACTTTCTTTAGCTTTAACTTTCTTAACCCTAAAACCAATGATGCTCCTAGTGATTGCACAACTTTTATACAAAGCACAGAATCATTTATGAATGGGCACCCTATTTCTTTTTTCCACAGCCAGGAATGGCAGGATTCACTACTTGTAACTTATTGTTCTCACCCTCTTTATAGTGTCCTGTCTGCAGGATAGTTCAGTTTTTTGTTGGAATGAGTTGCCATTTTATAATACAGTTTGACATTCAGACTACTGCACGCTTACATTACTTTCTGAATGCTCCTCATATATAACTGTCATACACAAATCATGCACACTACCCTATGTGTTAAATGTAGATATTATCTTTGTGGGTTTATTTTATGTATTTGTGAAATTTAATAAGAGATTGTTGAATGTTTTGTTTCCCTAAAACTGTATGGTTTATTTAGTATCTTTGAAACACACTTATGAATACGGGATAACTTTTTTAGGAAAGAACCCAACTGATGCACTGTTGGATGAAATGATGACATGCGCCCCTGGTCCCATAAACTTCACAATGTTTCTGACAATGTTTGGAGAAAAACTCAATGGCACAGATCCAGAGGATGTCATTAGGAATGCCTTCGCTTGTTTTGATACAGAGGGAACTGGTAAGTATGATGTTTGGCATCTTTTATGTGTGGAATAATTTGATGTATCATGCAGGAAATTATACCACCTTTTCATTTGTTTGGATAGTGTTTGTGTTGTCAGTTTACCGTCTTATTTAAGCAAGTCTTAGTTGAGGTTTCAACTTCGCTGCAGTCGGTTTTCCCCATACTTGTTCCGTTCATGTGCCAGTGAAAAATCAAATAAAATATCGCATACTGTCGCATTTGGAAAAACTTGTGGACAAACAATTAGTCCCCCCCAAAAAAGGACTGAAATATGTGTACGCAGTAAATGCATATTTCAGTTGCTAAAGGCGCCAAAGCTAACATCGCCACCATAAATGCAGTTTGTCGTTGATTGAAGTAGTCGGGCACAATAAGTTGGATATTCGCACATATAATTAGTAAGGTATTTCACCAGCTCACATGTAAACCGGCTTCAGACCATATTGAATTCCATGACACAACCGCTGAACAAAATAAAAGGCATTTCACAGAAAAAACACAGCTCACAGGGCTGCACCAGGCACTAAACTCAGTAGCTCAGGCAGCTAAACCGCAGACTGCCATCTGGATGTGGAAACTGCATTAGCAAAGCGCTGTCGGAAGCAAAAACTTTGAAGCTCAAACATTCTGCCTTGCCGAATCCTTTAGTTTAGACCAAAATTTAAGCCAACACATGATGTCTTTGTCATCATTTACGAATATTTTTCAAGTCAATTTTATGCATTTTAAAATTTCAAATTGCAGTCTTTTATGCATTTTATTCTTGGATATCGATTTCACACATCATGGGACTCCTGTTTTATTGGCTGCTTCACATGTGGCAGAATATAAAGGGCTCTACAAGTATTCTGCGTCTGCTTAATTTTTCTTGACTGCCTCATAGTATGCCTATATAAAGAGCGCTACAAGTCTCTTCCTGCTCGGAGTACATCCACCTGAGAGGTAAGGAACCAACAGTCTGCATGAAATGGATGTGTATGCAACACACAGTTTCTGGAACAGGACTAGGGTCCAGAAATGGATGAATAACCAGAACTTTCTGCTAGAGTTAACAGCCAGTGAATGTGAACAAGAAGAAGAAGGACTTCATGGTTGCATGCCTAAAGCCTGTCCAGTCAGGCAAGCTCTATATCTAGGTCTTGTTGGGTCTTCTTCTTCTCCTCTTTCCCTCTACTGAGCCCCATGGTATTGTTTTTGAGAGGCCATGAGATCTCATAACATGTCCGTACCATTGTGTTTTCCCTCTTTTCGCTGTAGTTAAAATAAGTTCTTAGTTGCCCATGTGCTAGTAATTATACAGTGAACCCCGTCAGTTGTGATTTGGTCTGTGTATGATATACCAAGCATTGAAAGGAAAAATCTCATTTTCAGGGCTTGCATCTTCTTTTCGAGTTTAGCTGTTAAGGTCCACACTTCACAGCCTTATGTAAACATACTAATAGCTAGTGCTGTGAACAGTTGTAGCTTGCTTTTACATGAAATGTTTTTGCATCTCCATATTTGACAAGGGCATGTTGTCTGGGCAGTCCTTAAACCTGGTTTATGGTCTGAACCCATAGGTAATTTAAAATGGATTTGTTCTAAATTGTGACTGTTAACATACATAGTGGTTTTGTCATTACTTTTGTCTTATCCACATTAATTTCCATTCCATACTTGGTCAATGTTTCATCAGGCAGGTTTACGACTTACGCGTACAGCCAGCTCTTGTTCTTTCCCGGCCCAACCCGGAGATGTCATCTGCAAACCTCAAGTTTTTTAATGCTCGTCCTCCTATACTTACTGTTCCTTTTGTTTTTCTATGGCGTCAGTCATAATTCTTTCTAAGAAGACATTAAACAGTGTTTGAGAGGAGACAGCCCTGTCGTCAGACAGGAATTATCAATATTGAACTTCTTCATAGTATCCCAAAGTGCTGCATGTCACACTCAGTCAAATTCTGTTTAAAATCAATGAACCTATGGTATAGGTGCTTTTGGTGCTGGTGGTACTTTTCTGACAATATGCGAAGATTAAATATCTGTTTCACTGAGCTTCTTGTTAGCAATGTGCTTATCAGTGACAATTCACATAGGGTAGAATCTGAGCACATTTGGATATGTCTGAAGTGCCGCGAAGATAATCCATTTAAAACTCTTGTTTAATTATATTTTAAAGTATTTTGTGTCGACTCTGTGGCTAAGTCGATGCGAACGCTTCGTAATGCTGGGTTCGATCCCAGCTGCGGGCCATGCGCCTTGCATTGGTTTTGACAGTGGTATCAAGAAATCCAACCGCCTAGAAAGCAATAGCAAACTACTGGACGTATTTGCCTAGAAGCTGTTGGGATTGGTTCTGCAACGTCCTGTAAAGGATACGCAACTAACCTAACCCATTTCGTACTTCTGTAGATACATTTTATTCTAATAACACATTTCATTATCACTCTAGGGATGATTCCAGAAGACATGCTGAGAGAATTGCTAACAACTATGGGTGATAGATTTACTGATGAAGAGGTATAGGATACATTTTTCTGTTTCACTTCCTTGTAACAGGGTTGCAGTACTTGCAACAGTGTTGTGATGTCATATAATCTCATAAACATGCCATATAATCAATCTGTGGCACTATTTATATTTCACATAGAGCATTGGATTCCACCATTTTGCCTGGGCAGTGCCGTCAGGTCTGGCCAGTTAGATTTCCAACTGCCAAGGGATTTGTTTTGTGTGCGCAACAATACACACCGGCGTCCGGTCTTACTACCCAGAGATCAGGGGAAATTACTAGACATCCACATGAGAAAACCCCAGCTTTCACTGGGACTTGAACCCGGGATCTTCAGCACTCGAGGCGGACACCATGCAGCTCTGTGCTTCTTTGCTCCTCAGTTCTTCATTGTTTGGCCAAAATATTCGCATGATTCTCCTTAGACATTTATTACTGTGAGACATGAGACATCTAACTATATATTCAAGGCCCCATGGGTTGGGGGTGGGGGGGGGGATCACTGTCCCTAACTAGCATAAGAGGTGAGGAACCAACAATCTGCATACAAATAAGCTAGTTCTTGGAAATGGATTTGCACACAAATACACGTTTTGGAACAAGAATAAACTGGACGAACAACTAAAACTTTCCCCAGACTTTACAGCCAGTGAACACAGAGGGGAATATTCTTCCATTGTCTTCTATCATGTTCAGTCCTTTCCAGCATAAAATCCAGCGCTGTGCCTTGGTAGGATTTCTCATTAACATCCTTTCTCAATGAAATTTTATTTTCCTTTTCAGTGCTTGTTTTGGGATACTAGGTCTGATTATACCCAGACTATGCCCAGTATAATGCCACCTTCTTTCATTTACATCTGTTAATGTGATCTTGTTCCAGACTTTTCTCTGATTACTTCACACATCTTGAGATTATAATAATCCCACATGAGTATGAGAAAAACACTTCAGCACTACTCGACCATATATATCTGTGGTTCTGAACCTTCTTAGTGCCGCGACCTTTAACTCTACCAGACCGCTGGCCCGCTATTACTGGAATTTCCTAACCTGCTGCTAAACCGCTGTCCTTCAATGTCGGGAATGTGCTTACTATGAGAAAACAATGAGTCACAAACTAAAAATAACTAGCCAATAGTAATCAGATCTCGTGGATAGTCTTCTCAGATGTCCGCCTGCATGTGTTTGGATAAAATTTGTGTTGTTTTATGTGAAAAAATTCTGAAAATTCACAATGAAACGAGCGGCTGATGAACCAAGCACTGCGACAGGAAAGTGAAGTAGGTCAAGGCTTTTCACAGTCCAACAGGTGATCGATACTTTGCTTTATTCAGACTCTGCGGAGTCATAATTTTATGAAGAATACGTTCCCAGTGGAAGTGACAGTCAGTGAGGGCTGGAATGATGAGGAGAATCTTGAAAATTATAAATCTAGAAATAGATTGAAAGTAGGAGAAGGGGGCGTGTCCCTCAAACAGCAACATCTGGTGTTCACCTATTTTCTACAATGTCTTTAAGTTTCATCTTATTCTGGCCACTTGTTTGCATGTAACTAATATTTTTGTATATCGTGTTGGTTTTTGTGTGTTAATGCCCAGGAGCTCAGGTATAGGGGGCAGTTAGGTTCAGGGCCTCAGGTCTGGTAGGGTTAAAACAGTTCCTCATCCTGTGGTGAACCCCAACCAGAGCAGTTACATTTATAAGGAAAGGGGAAATTAGGTATAGCTGGCAGTCTCTTGATAAATATCGCATTAAATTCTTAGTTCTTGTTAATGTTGTTGGTGTATATTTTCTACCAAATTTACAGAATAACATTCAGTTTGAGTTATGGTAGTGCAGTGGGTAGGTGCTGGCTTGCATGCCAGCCTAAAGGTCTTGTGTTTGAAGCCTTATCAAGTCAGAATTTTATCAATTGACCTGGACTACCAGGTCGATCCCCCAAAATTTTCAGGTAGGTTAAATTGGCTAGCGTGATGTTAACGACATCACCCATTAAATGCTGATTGGCCTATGAAGACACATTAAATGCTGATATGTCTATGAAAACACATTAAATGCTGATTGGCCTATGAAGACACATTAAATGCTGATTGGCCTATGAAGACACATTAGATGCTGATTGGCCTATGAAGACACATTAAATGCTGATATGTCTATGAAAACACATTAAATGCTGATTGGCCTATGAAGACACATTAAATGCTGATTGGCCTATGAAGACACATTAGATGCTGATTGGCCTATGAAGACACATTAAATGCTGATATGTCTATGAAAACACATTAAATGCTGATTGGCCTATGAAGACACATTAAATGCTGATTGGCCTATGAAGACACATTAGATGCTGATTGGCCTATGAAGACACATTAAATGCTGATATGTCTATGAAAACACATTAAATGCTGATTGGCCTATGAAGACACATTAAATGCTGATTGGCCTATGAAGACACATTAGATGCTGATTGGTCTATGAAGACACATTAGATGCTGATTGGTCTATGAAGACACATTAGATGCTGATTGGTCTATGAAGACACATTAGATGCTGATTGGTCTATGAAGACACATTAGATGCTGATTGGTCTATGAAGACATGATGAATGCTGAATGGCTTATTCCCAGTTTGGGTTCTGGAGCCCCGTCGTTGGGAAAACAAGCAAGCATGTCGTAGGAGTCAACTATTTGGGGACTTCCTTTAAAGTCAGAGTGCATCTGCCCGAGCGGCAAGGGACGACTATCTGCACACAAATAAGCCAGAAAAAACGGATGTACATGCAAAACTCAGACCCTGGCATAAAGCCAAAGTCTAAATGGACGAATAACCAGGACTTTCCGCAGGAGCTTACAGCTGGTGAACAAAGAAGAATAAGATGGCTTATGAAAACATATTGAATGTCGATTAGCCAATAAAAACATATTGAATGCCGATTGGCCTATGAAAACATATTGAATGCCGATTGGCCTATGAAAACATATTGAATGCCGATTGGCCTGTGAAAACATGCTGAATGCCGATTGACTTATGAAAACATGCTGAAAGTTGATTGGCCTATGAAAACATATTGATTGCTGATTGGCCTATGAAAACATTGAATGCCGATTGGCCTATGAAAACAAATGCCGATTGGCCTATAAAAACATGTTGAATGTTGATCGGCCTAAGAAAACAGTTTGAATGCTGATTGGCCTTTGAAAATATATTGAATGCTGATTGGCCTATGAAAACATACTGAATGCTGATTGGCCTATGAAAACATACTGAATGCTGATTGGCCTATAAAAACATATTGAATGCTGATTGGCCTATGAAAACATTTTGAATGCTGATTGGCCTATGAAAACGAATGCTGATTGGCCTATGAAAACATTGAATGCTGATTGGCCTATGAAAACATTGAATGCTGATTGGCCTATGAAAATATATTGAACGCTGATTGGCCTATGAAAACATATTGAATGCTGATTGGCCTATGAAAACATATTGAATGCTGATTGGCCTATGAAAACAAATGCTGATTGGCCTATGAAAACATGTTGAATGCTGATTGGCCTATGAAAACATATTGAATGCTGATTGGCCTATGAAAACGAATGCTGATTGGCCTATGAAAACATGTTGAATGCTGATTGGCCTATGAAAACAGTTTGAATACTGATTGGCCTTTGAAACATATTGAATGCTGATTGGCCTATAAAAACATGTCTAGTTCCATATGCCGGGTACACTATTGGCATGAGGGTTTTTAAAACTATTATTTCAAGTACATTTTTTTAGCTGTTGTCCTTAAAAGTGAGGTGAGCACATTGTATTAAGATTTAACGCTAGCCTGCGATATCTGCACCATTCAATCCAACAAATCCGTCACCTTTTACATGTTTATAAGGGGCAGTAAGTCCGTTTTTTTTTTAACCTGCAAAACTGGGGATCTGGACGCGCACAGGGTATTTCAGGTAACAGAAATGATCCTTTGTTATGCACAAATGTGTACGCATTTTTTTAAAAATTAACCAAACTTCTGCTGTTGCAGGTGGATGAGATGTACCGTGAAGCTCCTATCAAGAATGGCTACTTCAATTTCTTGGAATTTATCAGGACCCTAAAGTACGGCAAACGTGAAGATGATGCACAGTAGTGTCACCTGATTTCTGTAATAACTTTTTCATAATCCTCGCTTTCACTTGTGTATTTTAACTTTGAGACTGATACCTGAATATGATAACTGTCCTGTGTATGGAATTAGTTAAAAGATAGTATGAGGCATATAATATGTGCCTTGGTGATATTTAGAGGCATTCATGAGCAGTCATATTTCATCCATTGGTTTAGTCTGGAACTGTTTTATAACACATTGTTGTTAACTGAGGACTACAAAGGATTTGTATTTTTCAGCAGTGAGATATTTGACTCAGAGCCAAAGCACAGTAAAATGGCGAAGCGCAAAGTAAACTGTAAACATTTAAAGGAATCAATATCTTCTTAGCGTTCACTAACTGTAAACTCCAGCGAAAAGTTCAGGTTGTTCATTCACTTCTGGACTTCAAGTCTTGTTCTAGAACTGTAGTTTTGCAAGCATATCCATTTTACAGATCTGGCTGATTTAAATGCACACTGTTGGTTCCTCGCCTCTCAGGCAGATGCACAGTGACTGAATGAAACACCCCTAATTTGTTGACTTTGATGACACACTCGAGTATATGAAGCTGGAGATATTTCTTATAGGTCAATCAGCTGTTGTTGGTTGATGTGTTTAAAAAACACACCAGTTCTGTTTACATCTTAGGGCTTTTCTTGGTACCCATTTAAATCAACCTGGGCAAAATTTAAAAAATTCACCTTGATTCAGATTCTGACCCAGCATCTTTGGGGTCAGGAAGCATATGTCATCTGCTGTGTTCATGTGGCTGCTGTATGCAACATAGTAGTAGATGATTCTCACATTTCCATTTGTTGACTTGTTTACCTGATGACCAATTCTGAGCATTCTTGATGTTCATTCCAGTTTCTGTTTGTTTAATATGTTTGGCAAATTGTTTTGTTTTTTAAATGTAAACAAAACACAGAAATGTGTAGATAAAGATCTTAATTCTTCCACTCTTTATTTGAACCCCAGATACATATCTGTTCTGTTTCTGTGAACATCAGATCAATTTGCATACATACTCAGTGTATTATCTACAATGTTTTTCCGGCAAGAGCAACCAATGCATGCCTTGTTTTCTGCCATGAAATTTTATTTGCAAATTATTGAAACTGTTTACAAATCACAGACCATTAATAAAACCTGTAATTGAATATTTGCAAGAGGGACCATTTCTGTGGCATTCCACCTCAACCTGTCAATGGGTTATTTTCTTGGCTGTTTTGCCATTGTCATTATAGCAGTCCTATCATGTTAATGCTGCATTCTTTTATGATGCCGAGCACATTCACGTTGAATCTGTCTGCCACTAAAAAGATACTCTTATCACTTGAGGGATTGGCAGTTTTTAATTGTTTTATTAATACACAGAATTATATAAAGCTTATTTCTGTAATGAATAAAAGAAACAATTATTATTATTGTTGATTATTCTCTGTGTGTGTGTGTGTAACACTGGTTTGGGTGCACTTATGGTGGTTATTTTTGTGTGAAACAGTGTTTGTTTATTTATGTTATGTGTCCCTGTGAGGGTTCCAGGCCCTATTGTGGGGAAAGCAAGAATAGACCCACTGCCTGTCCAAAGGTGTGTTGTAGGAGTCCAACTGATTGGGAGCTTTCTTTGAAGTCAGTACATCTGCCTGAGAGGCAAGGAGCCAGCAGTCTGCACGCAAATTAGTTAGACCTGTGAAACATATATGCATGCAGCACTCAAGTTTCTGGAACAGGACTAGAGTCCAAAAGTGGACGAGCAACCAGAACTTTCCACCGGAGTTTACAACTGGTGAATGTGAAGATTATTATTATTTATTGTTCATGTGTGTGTGTACATCTGTGGTCGATTATTCATTAGGTGTGCACTATAATAACTTTTCTGGCCTCTGACCAAGTCCAGTCTAATGAAAAGGCAATAGATTTGTGCCTGTCTCTGTCTGGTTCCTATATGCTGTCTGACATGGGAAACCCTACCAGCAGCTATTGACACAGCTTTGGGTTCATTGGAAGACACAAGCCAGCCAGAAGGTAGAAGAACAGCCGTACACACTGATCATATTAGATTCCAGGAACATACTGCAAAAAACTGCAACAGTCAACCTCAGCTCTGAATGGGCAGACATCATTCGGAAGTCACGCTCACCTGGATCTACACACCTGGGCATGCATGAGGTGTATAAATGAATAAGCAGACCATCTGACAAGTACTGCACCACCGCATGCAGGAGCAGATATCAACGATTTAAGGACTACTTTGGTGAATCTCTGGCACTAACACAATTACATGACCTCAGAGTGAAATCTGGTGAAGAAATTCTCACAGGAACAATCAGTAGTGGTACCTTAGGGTAGTTGCTACATCGGAGGACTTAGCACACTTGGGAGTGTGCAGTGAAATCAATTGTGATAACATAAGAGGGAAAAAAACTAACACAAAACATTCTTCTTCTGCATTCGTCCAAAGATGTACTTACGTTATGTCCGTTTACAGCATGAACCTTTCGGCCAACACATACTACTTCTGCGGACATTTCTTAACTGGGTTAGCCTTCCTGGCAGAACATGAGCATTCCCCCCTCCCCATCCAAGGAGGCTTCCATAAATGCAGAGCTAATACATGGTGCTCTGGTAGTGGGCTCACCCAAAGAATCCTCACGACCTGCTCATATCTGTTTAACCTCACTTCCATATATTGAACATCTCATTCATCATGGCCTGTCTTTAGAAGCCAACAGTATGCAGCCTGCAGACCTGAGATTTCAGTTACCTACACAAAATGAGAACTTTATATGACATTTCCCACATAGGTGCCTGGGGGCATCTAGTGTGGCAGTATATGGACAGATGGGTCTCTTTCATTTACTTCCCATGTCATGGTTTATGAACTCTGCATCTCTAGGGCCTATCAGCTCCAAGAATCCCTTACAGTTTTCTTCTTATACCTTAAGACATCAATGTGAATACAATTACAGAAATCAGCAGTCAACTTGAGGTTGTTGACTTCACAGAGTTTGTCCTCAAAAGAAGTGGGTGTTAGCGAGAATAATTTTCTCTGTTCTGCAGATGTTGGGCACTCTTGCAGCAAGTGTTTAGCCGTCATTTTACCCTTTCCACAGTTACAGTCATCAGTGTCTCCTATCTTTAACTTATTGAACAAGTGGTGTTTCAGCCTATTATGTCTTGTATGGAGTCCAGAGATCACTACTTGTTCTCCTTCGCCAAGCTGATAGTATGCATCATCCTTCTTGTAGCCTGGAAGTTCAGAATCCCATTTGGTACAATATGTACTCCTTATAAACCTCTTGGAAATGAGATAGCAGACTTGCAAAAAATGGAACAAAGGAGAAACAACACACCCATTCATTATCATTACCAGAACACTTAAAGGGAAAATACAAGGAATTACAGAGAGAAAAAACTAACAGTTAACATCCACAAGACCTCATCAGCTGACTCATAAGAAACCATCATACAACAATATTCTGTCTATGAACAGGACACTGCAGGCTCAGCTACCACATGCACAAAATAAAGATTGTACAGTCTACACAAGCGTGCATGTCAATCAGGACCACAAACACCTGAGCACATTCTGCAGACCTGCTAACTCTTCCTACAACTTTGAAAAGACACCTGGCCTCAAGAGCAAAGTGTGCAGAGCAATCTATGGGGAACCATGCAGGACCTGCTGCTGACATGCGAGCTCATAGAGGCAACCCACCTGATGGTCTGATCTGAGCATTGGAAACTAAATGCATAGAAGAAAAAGGATTCCACTTATTTTGATAAATTGACTTAGCTACTGTTGCTCATTCTGCAGTACCATATTCAAAGACTGGCCTTACTCGTTCAGTGTACAGCTTATTGAGCACTTTCTCATTAGCTCCCCATGTTGTACCAGCAAGCTTTTTCACGATTGCCTTGCTCTTGATTAACTTGACTCTACCTGTGTCCTCCATGTCAGGCAGCAATTGAATGTGACACCTAAGTATTTTGGCGCAGTATTTTTCCAGTTAGCACTAGCTTAGCTGGCTGTTTTTTATTTGAGAGGGAGAACTTTGCATGTTGTTTTCTCTTCACTGATATTTACAAGCCATGTTTTTGACCATTACTCTAACACTGACAAGCTTGCTGCATTCTATTGTTGGCTACACTAATATATTCTACGCTAGTCCATATAGCTAACATCTGCAAAGGACGAGGTGTGAACTCTGGCTTGAAAATTATTTGAAATTTTATTTACATATTTACAATGTTGGTGGCAATACTCCCCCTTGGAGTACACCATGCTGTAACTCAAATTTGTTTGTGGCTAGTTTGTCCTTTTGCCCTGGCAGTTCTGTTCTCAACATAGTGACTGATCCAGTAGTACATTTCCCTACCAAACATGTATTTTTTGTAGTTTTGCTTTCATTACCTCCTTCCATACTTTAGCAAATGCTTTCTCTAAGTCTATCCAGACTGCTAGTGTGTTTCTTCTCTTGGAAGGCATCCTCTATTTCCTGGGCTTTATATGTTATTTGGTCTTCAGTGGCTCGGTACTTTCTTAATCCTGCCTGTTATGGAGTCAGAATGTGTTTTCTTCGAGATGCTCCATTAAACTGTTATTTAAAATGCATTCCATCAGTTTCCCTACACAGCTAAGTAAGCTGATTGGTCGATAGGCATTTGGTTCTACAGGGTCTTTTCCTTTCTTCTGGACTGTTTTTAGTATAGCTTCCTTTCATGCCTGAGGGACTGTTCCTCTCTACCATCTCCAATTTAGGTCTCCTAGTAATTGCCTTAGAACTCGCTTGTGATCCCATCATTCCCTGGTGATTTCTTCTTTTTCGGGGAACTTATTTCCTGTTCCAGCTCTTCAATATTAAAATTTTCAATTATAAGTTCTGATTTCTCTGTGTTACTGTGATAACCTATTCCTCTTTAATTGCTTTTCTTTGTGTTCTGCTGTGACATCAATGTGGTTTGCACTAGCATAATATAATATTCCATCAGTGTATTTGCAGCCTTTTCTTCCTGTTAGTATGTCGTTACACTGTTCAACAGATATTCTTTTGTTACTGGGCCCTTCATCGTTCATGGCCTTTGCTAGTTTCCACAATTTGTCTCCATCTTTGTCTAAGTTTAGGCTTTCTGTTTTTTCCTTGCCAGAATTTCTTGTTTCATTTAATGTTCTTCTGTATTGTGCTGAGAAGGCTTTCAGTGAGATGTTTGCTCTTTCTCTCTCCGCTGTCTTCCTGGTATCTTCAACTTTTCCCTCCAAAATGTGTAGTTCTTTGGTCCAGTATGGTTTGTTATTCTTCTTGCACCTCTTGAAACACACTTGAATGCAGTATTGCTTTGCTTAGACTTTCTACTATCGTCAGGTTGCTATATCATGTGTTTATGTTTTTACAGTACTTGTCAGTGAGCAAAGAATACTTATCCCAATTAGCTCGTTTGTAATTCCAGCAAGGAAATGGTTTTTGCTCCTGTGGGGCATAATTCATATTTACAAGTTTCACTGGTTTGTGCTCGCTGCCTGCTAAATATTTACAACAAGCTTCACTGGTCTTTGATCATTGCCTGCTAAATATTTACAAGCTTCACTGGCCTGTGATCACTGTCTGCTAAATATTTACAAGCTTCACTGGCCTGTGATCACTGCCTGCTAACTGAACTAGATTTGTGAAGAATGTCTCCTGTGTAGAAGGCTAGGTCAGGAGTGGAAGTGTTACACCATCTTCTAGAGTTGAAAATGGTTTTTGCTCCTGTGGGGCATAATTCATATTTACAAGTTTCACTGGTTTGTGCTCGCTGCCTGCTAAATATTTACAACAAGCTTCACTGGTCTTTGATCATTGCCTGCTAAATATTTACAAGCTTCACTGGCCTGTGATCACTGTCTGCTAAATATTTACAAGCTTCACTGGCCTGTGATCACTGCCTGCTAACTGAACTAGATTTGTGAAGAATGTCTCCTGTGTAGAAGGCTAGGTCAGGAGTGGAAGTGTTACACCATCTTCTAGAGTTGAAGCAAGGTTTGTCTTCTGGTTTGTTGATTAAATGGAGGTTTATTTCCCAGGCCTCAGCGTTGTCTCCTCAGTATCTGAGTATCCCCATCTCTCTGAGCAGGTACCAAAGTCTCCAACTATTATGCAGTTTGTGTCACTTATTTCTATTTTTGAAAGTGCAAGATCTTCATTTGCTAGGCTATAGTTGTATATTCTGATTTTCTCTTCCTTTATCACAATACCATCACCTATAATTTGTGACTCATTATTTTAATTTGTGACTCATTATTGAGTTCACAGCTACTTCACTTCTTGATATTGAGTTTTGAATAAGTACTAGGACTCCTCCCTCATGCTCTTCTCAGTCATAGCATACAGCTTGATATCCGCTGACTACAGATCTGTGATTAGCATTGAGGTGAGTCTCTTGGATACATTCCACGTCAATTTTGTCTTCATGAAGGCATTTTGTTAGAGACCTTTTAAGACTCCTTCAGCGTTCCACTGTAGTATGTTGAATGTCCTGGATGTTTAGTCAATAGTTTTTAATCTAATGCCCTCTGCCTTGACTCCACGGCACAGGGGTAGGTAGGTGCCCACTAGTAGTGTTGGGTGGATCTCTTCAAGGCAAGGGGCCTGGCACTATCTCTGCCTGACGGGGCTCCGCGAGAAAAGCACCATATCAAAATATTTTCATTTGTGACATCATGAAATTTGGGTGTTTCTCTCTTTGTCTGGTTCCTATCCTTAAACCTCTCAGGCATGGGAAACCCTACCAGTAGCTAAGTACCGTCGGCATAGCTCTTAGGGTCACTGGAACACTCAAGCCCCTCTACCTCTTCAAGGTGGAGACACATCAGAGGGGACAAAACAGTCTGAAAACTGGCACTGATAAATAACTGTAAACAACACAAAACAGTTCTGTTTTGAAATGTTTATTGTGTCCAATTAATATCTCTAATTCTTCAGCTGACTGAATATGTATGTCTTTCTTATCTAAACTTGTTCTCCATATACAACTTTTGTTGTTTGTTAACATATGCACACAAAGATAAGACAGAGACCATAAATGTTCTAGATTAAAAAACTAACGCACACACACAGGGAAAGACAGACATAGACCCTAAATTAGGGCTATTCAACTAAGTTCACTCAGAGGCCAAATTCTTAAAATGGAGGTCATCTTGAGCCAGAGGTTCAAGTCCTAGCATACAAAGATAATTTATAAAGTACAATCGGCAATGATCCGTGGGCCACTTGCTAGGCCTTTTCTGGCCGCCAGTTAAACATCCCCGCCCTAAATGTTTTAGAATAATAAACAAACATAAAACATATTTTCATGTACATTAGTGTCTGTGAAGGTAGTGTTAATGGATGACACTTTCCCTAACTGTTGCATACATGTAGCCAGACATACCTTATTTCATTACTACAAACCTGGACCACCCTCCCCGTGTCTTCGTAGCACCCTCCCCGTGTCTTAGTTGCATTGCCACCTGCTAGACCTCTAAAACCCAAACAAAATCAAAAATTCATTAACAATTTACTCCTAGCAAATATGAGCATTTGAATATGTGGGGGGAAAATACGGCTTAAACCATACCAATGCGCAAAATAATGTTTTAACATGACCAGTACAAAGTAAAGATCACCAGTAGAAAGAGTTTGTTAGAAAGTTTGCTGCTGCAGAAAACCATGTCTTTGATTTTTGCCTGTCTTCTTCTGTAGGCTTCTTCACTGCCTTCTCCCCAACCGTCATCTCAGAGTCGTCAGACAGGTAATCGGGTAGAGTGTCTTGTTCTTTGTCACAGCCGCCAGAATGCCCACTGGAGTTGAAACTTATGAAGGCCTAGAATTTCACATGAAAAATTAATGATGATTAAGTATGAGTGTTTCCAAAGCAAATGTTAGCACCAATAATCTCATCAGGTGCCCATGTTGTGTGTGTAGACTAGAGCTCTCTAAACTGTAAAGCGAAGCATTAGGCAGCTGCAGTCTAAAGGTGTGTCACACAAACATAAAGCTATGCATGTGTCTGCATCACTTATACCTCTAGTTTGCCAGTAAATGAATTACTGTGTTGCAGAAATGTCTGCCTATAAAAAAAAAAGTCTTACCAACATAAAATGTTTGGAAAGCACTTGTGTAGATGGTCAAGATTTGCTATCTCATGCGATCCCATTTATCCGCAGTTGTAAGTGTTTAATTATTATTTATCTTTGTATTTTTTTTTCAGACAGTAGTTTACCACAGCTTTCCTTCTTGGCAAAACAATACAAATTCTCTGGCTATAGCTATTGTCATTACGGTCTGATCATATGCCTACAATTAGGGAATTTCAAACTATGGCAAATAACTACCTAAAAAAATAAGACAAAAATAACAGATTGCACAATATACTGTCCGGCATATTTTGCTACAATAATAATTGAATATAACTAAAAGGTAAAGGTAACGTCGGGAGATGTTTCTTCTTCTTCTTCTTCTTCTTGTTCACCGGCTGTGAATTTCGGCGGTAAGTCGCGGTTGTTCGTCCAAAATGGACTTTTGGCTTTTACCTTGACCTGAGTTTTGCGTGTACATCCGTTTTACTGGCTTATTTGTTTGCAGTACTCGTTCCCCGCCTCTCCGGCAGATGTACTCCGACTTCGGAGGAAGACGTCGAGCCTATTTCTAGGTTGACTGTGGCCATTGTTTTGTGTGGGTCAAGATGTTGCCTCATTTGTGTGGTGTCCTCTTTGACTTTTAACAGGTGTGGTCCCCGGCATGTCGTCCTTAAGGCAGCTCTATGTAGAGTTTTCAGCCCTCAAGGGAAGGCAGGGGCAGATCATAGGCATTCCCCGCCATCCAAGGAGGCTTCCATAAATGCAGAGCCGACACATGATGCTCTGGATCTGGGCTCACCCAAGGAATCGTCACGTCCTGCCCATGACTGTTTAACCTCACAACGGTGTATTGAGCTTCCCGCGCTACAAGGCAGCGCTCTCCGGAGATCAGCGGGGAGCAGCCCGCAGGTCTAGGACGTTTGTGGCCACACAAATAGGTACATTCTTTTTTCATCTTACATTTGACACCTTTAACGTTGTTTCAGCTGTGCCCTTAGCACGACAAAATTGGGAAGCAAAATGCGTCAGGTGTGGCTTCACCTGTTTGGTCCCAACACTCGGGCGAGTTGGACCAGTGGATACGGACATTCGGACTTTTTCCTGATCGGTACGAATTATGATCGCCGGACTCTGAGCTTGCATGTGTGCCGTGGGGTATAACTTTGTCGGACATTATTTCCAAACCAGCATATGAAAAGTTGCTGCCGTGGTGTACCTCAGCGCGGTGACGACGACACTGAGGATTGACAGAGGATGTACGTAGGTAGGATCTTGCTGCGAGAAGTCGCCCACAAGAGATGTTACTCGTCTTGGCTGCGGGTAAATCTCTCGGTCAGGGTTGAGTCTCAGCAGCACAGTTTTAAATTCCCTCCCGAATTGTAACCAAGAGTTGTCATTTGATGGTACATTTAGCAAGCAATTTTGAGTTTTGTTAGACTTTTCACCCATGCGTTTGGGGGCGGGCTGGTGAGAGCCAGAAAGGACACTACACCTCTGGGGGCCGCCAGCTCCGAGATCCCCTGCCAACTCTGTTAATGCTCATTTGAGACATTATCTGTGGCGCACGACGGGGACGTGCAACAGGAGTCTTGCATGAGGTTCCGTAAAACCAGAACAGTGGAGGACTGGCGCCCGAGTGGGGTACGGAGTATCTCCTTAAACACCTCACATCAAACTTAACTTTGCCTCATGCCTGTGAACGAAATCACGCGCCACGTCGGGAGATGTGAACCAGCGTCATTGCACACGGTTATAAACCATAAGTGCTCTGCCACCAGTACGGACAGCTGGTAAAAATTGTCCGTCTGTGTCGCCGTTTGCACATAACTCTGTAGCTACAGCGACGTTCCTCCATTTACCCCAGAGTGTCAACTCTGGTACCCATTTCCTAGAGCCTGTGTGAACCCTTGGAACCGCCCAGTTTTGAACACCGATCGTGGCTGCAGCGAGTCGCAGCTGGATTTGAAAGCGAGCCACTTATCGACTGCGCTAACGCGGCCCCTCTGACTAAATATATTGAAGCAAATAAATGAATTCCAACTAAAATACAAATCAACTACACTCTAAAGTAACCGCCTATTTTATGAGCCGCAGCTGGATTTGAAAGCGAGCCCCTTATCGACTGCGCTAACGCGGCCCAGCTGACTGAATATATTGAAGCAAATAAATGAATTCCAACTAAAATACAAATCAACTATCATTGAGACATAACTGGTCAATGTCAAACTGAAATCTAAAGACAGGAGAAAGATGAGGGTGTGTTTGCCACCTTTATTTTATAATACTTATAGAAAAAAGATTTCAATAATTAAAGGGACAATATGACAGCTATGAAACTCATTTGACAAATTACAAATATACATATAGGAAAAACATCTCAGGAATTAATATTAATACAAGACAGTCACCAAAGAGTTTAAAAACAAACAACAGTACAGTTAAAGGAAACAAGTCAGTAGAACCCCTGGTCCGCTAGGCACACAGCTGAATGTTTCTGGCCTGAAAGAAGTTTTACAAATTTATCTAGGAAATGTGATCATGAAAGAGGGCAGAATCGACAGAGAAATAGAAACCAGAGAGTAAGTGCAATTATATACCAACTTACACCATTATCAAGACATCAAAACATAACTATAAGTGGAAAAAAAAAAGTTTACAAACAGCATATTCACACCAACATTGAGCTACCAGTGCCAAGCATGGACATTATCTAAAACCCATACTTAACACCATCAGTGGTTTATGATGATGGAATTATATGTTTCATACCGAAAACAATCAAAATGAGAATTAGAATGAAGAAGCTTTAAAAAAAATTTGCGAGTGGCAAATACATTTCATACAGAATCACCAGAGGACTTACTATTCACCTGTACAACTTCTCTTATTTATATTTATACGCCTGACTCGTTTCAGAGGTGTTCTTTTCACCCACCACCGGCAGAAATGGTCTGAATATATTTATACACATCTCATATCCAAAGGTACATATTTATGTGTATGTATGCAGATATGATACGCCTTTGGATATGAACTGTACACAGACCACTTCTGAGGGTGGTTGGGGGAGAAGTACACATCAGAAATTAATCAGGCATACCATTTTCATACTTCTCATTTTGAAGGAATTAGGAAATGAACAGAGAATCTAACTTTCTATGTCCTGTTTCAAGTGTGATTAGACACAGCTGGTAGAAGTTATCATCTGTTTCTGGCTACAACAATGTACAGATGCCTTGCTGTTGAGAAAGAAAGTATACTGAGTTTAGTTCCAACAGCAATTAAACTCAGGATGGAACAGCTAAAGAACTGAGGATGTAACAGGGTAAATGTGGGTTTACAACCACATGCCTGATGTGCCCAATGTGTAAAAATGGTTTAAGCTGATTAATGTAAATGGAACCAAAGTATGTACAGGATGGGAAGAGGGGGGAACGACACACCAGTCACTGGAAAAAACACCAGTCATTTTACTGCATGTAATTGTGGGGGTGGGGGTAAAGTTAGATATTTATTGTTGCATGGTAACAGTAGTTACTATGAACTCTGCATGTTATGATTGTCTTTTTGCCCCCTTTCCAGAGAAATAGACAAATCTCATTTTCTCTAGTCATACCAGTCAAGGCTGGAATTTTAAGACAGCCATGTGGTGGCCACGAGATTGATGCTCCTACCAATGGAAAGAAAATGATCAGACATGCTTCACAAATGCTGCAACAAAACTTACCTCTTCACCATTATCATTTTTCACAACCTGTTGAGCTGTCATTGTCATTGATTTTGCTACTGAAGCTGCCAGCACCTGTGGAGCATACCCGTAACATGTTTACAAATTCAATGGAGTAATTTGTCTGTTATTTTGTTTCAAATGTCTTCTGTCACAAAAGTATCCTTTAGATGTTGCAAACAATCCCAGCATAAGTTAGCTGTTTGTGCTTTTATTAGGCAATTTTACATTCAGTAGTTTGCCACTACTTTCAAAATGGTTGGCTCTCTCCAGGGCACCATTTCTGGGGGAAAAAAAATAGACCCATTGCTTCCCTAAAAAGCAGGTCAAAAAAGGAACCTAATTAGGAGTGCTTCCTTTGAAGTCGCAGTGCATCTGCCTGAGAGGCAAGGAACCAATAGTATGCATATAAATAAGCCAGATTTGTAAAAGAGATGTGCACACAAAACTCAATTTCTTGAAAAAGATCAAAGTCCAGAAGTGGACAAACAACCAGAACCTTTCACCAAAGTTTACAGCCGGTGAACGCTATAAAGAAGAAAAGAGTTGGCTCTTGATACCATCATCAAATTAAGGCAAAGCCCTCTGCTACCAAATCGCTTGCAGCTGGAGTCGAATCAAGCAACTGGACTGTGGTGGCAAAACATGTCTAAAACCATTTTTAAAAAATTGGTAAACGAAAAGAATGGAGGAAATCATGGTTTCAGTCTGACTCAACTCATTATTGTTGAATACTGAATTAAGAATTGACATCATAGCACTTGGGACACTCCCATAAGTGCTCTGTCCCCATCTTCAACAGCAAGCAAAGAGTTTCCATTACAATAGTATAATCTAACAAATCACCATGGGTTTGCTAACATGACCTGATGTAGTATACTTCTCTGCACTCCCTGTGACCCACCCAGCTGTACATCCATACAGTGGTTCCAAATCTTCCACCCCTGTCATGAGTTTATGTTAGCCCACTAGATCCAAAAACTGATTATTTATAGTAACAGCTTCCCAGAATAAATTGTCTTTACTGCTTACAGCAAAGTTTCTCAACCTCTTTTACACCCACAGCCCATCAAAATAGGGAAAGTTGTTCTGCTGCCCATCTGACAGCTAACCAAACACAAAAACAAATGTAGATGGCAGTTTATTTCTTACATCCAATGTACCATTTTCAGCTAATGTGACACTGTATGCTGCTCAGCGGTTAGACAATCTTAAGCATTAACTCCGACAGATGAAGTGCTGCAATGACATTCATTTCACTTCACTGTTTCGGTTTGTAACTACTGACATGGTGAGAAAGTCTTTTCATTCAAATCATCTTCTTCTTAAAGTCCACGCCGTGTGACAGTAGTCATGTGTATCCACAACCTTCTGTCTGGTGTATTTTCAGTCAGCTCTGAAACAGATGATCCTCCATGCTATGATGTCAAACTGTCCAGTCTTTACTCCCCTCCAACCTTCCTACTGTCACGATGTACTCCAGTTCTTTCAAGACATCTTCATTACTCTTTCTATCTGTCCAAAGTATTCTCATCATTCATCTATAAAACCACATATCCGCAGCTTTAAAATAAGTTTTCATTAATGTACCAACTGTCCATGGTTCACTTCCATATATCAAGATAGGATTTATATAGCTTTTAAGAATTCTCTTTCTCGTTTCAACTGACTTAGAAAGATTACATCAAATATTTTTCATTTTGTAAAATGCTACCTTTGCTTGACCTGTTCCTCATTTATTTTTTTAAATAAATCTTCAATATGATGTTATCAGGGTACCCAAGTGCTTAAAACATATCCCCACACAAGAAGAAATATTCAGAGTATCTAGCAAGGATCGAGAATATCATATGGTCCTCGTGTATGCTCCAGGCCCCATTTCTGGGGAAAGGGGGGGGGGGGGGAAGGGGGAGAATAGACTCACTGCTTTCTAACAAGCATATCATAAAAGGTGACTAATTAAGTGTTTCGTTCAAAGTCAAAGTGCATCTGCATGAAGTAAAGAACCAACAATCTGCATACTAATAAGACAGATCAGTAAAACAGACGTGCACATAAAACCCAAGTTCTGGAACATGACTAAAATCCAGAAGTGGGCAAACAACCAGAACATTCGGGTAACTCTTGCTGAATTTTTATAAAACTTTGTATGATCTTTCACAACTGTACAGACACAGCACTACACAAAAACCTGTCACTCTAGTCAGTAACAGACACACTACAAACTTCTGTGTAGAAAACAACAACTGAGATACACGGTGACAAGTTGTAAGGGCTAATAACCTGGTCAACATTTACCCAAAGAACTCAAAAGTCTGCTGAAATTCCACAGCTCTCATGAATACAGACACAATGTAATCACATCCAAACCATTAAAATACCACGTGAACAAAGAGATCTCATTACCCGCAGCAGAAGCAGACAATCTACAATGTGGGCACTTCTTGAGAAAAGGAAAACTGAGATACACGGTGACAAAGGGAAAGAGGCAGACAGAGATCAAGAGAAGAGAGGTAAACAGTTTGACATCATTATCTTCTTCTTCTTCTTTCGTTTGCCTGAAATAGATTATCTATATCCGCAATGTTGTCTCTAGTGTGAACTTCACTGTTTTTTGTAACTCAATCCGCGACCCGTAAAGTTTGACTTGCACCAGTGCTTCTTTTGGCCAAAAGTTTTGCCTTGATATGTTGTATTTGGACAGCCTTGGAGGATGTGATCTGTTGTCTCAGGTGCTAATCCACTTGTACACATGGCTGATTTCCTAATCTTAAATTATGTATTCATGTGGCTGTGAAGTCGACTGTGTCCTGTTCTAAGGCGTAGAATCACCTGCTCTGATCATTATCTGAGCCATCCTGTGCAATCCCTTTATATCATGGGCGGTATTCTTCAGTCCAGCACCTCTGGCTTTTCTCATTAACATTTGTTTTAGGTTTGTCTTGGACAATCTCATTTCCTCAGTCCCTTAATGTGGTGTGATGACTGCGATTACAGGTGTGAGAAAAAGTTGAGGCCGGGCACCAGCAGGCTCTGTGATAGTTTTTTTCGGATCCTCATGCAAGACTCTTATGTGTTAGGATGAAGCATGAATGGGTCAGACAACTGTGCTAGGATGTTTATATGCACCAGTAACAAAAAATGATACAGCACATGAATGAATACAGCTGAATCAAGAACCAACACCACAGCACTCGGGACATTCTCACATGTGTTCTGTCCTTATCTTCATGAAAGAGTTCCGATTCTAATAGTACCAGTAGAGGTCTGATTATATGTTTTCTCTGAGCATAAAGTGTCGGTTACATTCAATGGTCACTCCCCACCGCACCATTCTCTCCACATCGTTATTATTTATTCGCGCTTCCTCTATGTTCGTGTGCTCCAAAAGGGCCTTGACAACATTTAGCTTGTCATACATACAGACCATAGCAGGACAGTGCAATATAGACTGATTGATTGGCACCTTTCTGTCTTTCCAGACGATAGTATTATATTGAGCTATGAGGAGGCATGAGACACAGCCCATGGCGAGTGTGACTAGCAAGACCCGCCCGTGCAATACAGATTATCACATAAAAAAGCCTACCTTATCATGAAAACCTCTCAGCTGTAAGACGATAGATTTCCCTGAGGTCCAGCCCTGATTACTGTTGTTTTTTGAATACCTGTCACATAATTAACAGACATGTCATTCGATACTGAAGAGGAAACGACTTAAAGACATTTAGAACTATCTGAATTTACCATTTATTAACTGCCATCAACAATGATATTCTCCTTCTATGCGTTTCACCAGCTGTCAACTTTAAGGAAAAGTTAATCCACTTCTTTACTTCAGTCTTTTTCCTTCTTCTTTCTTGTTTGCTGGCTGTAAGTTCCAGCGGAAAGTCTTGGTTGTTCGTCTGTTTGGACTATGGCTTTGTGCCAAGACTAAGTTTTACTGGCTTATTTGTGTGCAGCTGGTTGTTCCTTGCCGCTAGGGCAGATGCACTCCGACTTTGAAGGAAGTCCCCAGTTAGTCGACTCCTATGCCACGCTTGCTGGAAAAGCAGTAGGTCCATTCTTGTTTTCCCCACAATGTGGTCTTGGAACCCACATGGGGAAGTTTTTTTTTTCCAGAACTTGAGTTTTGATTGCATTTCTGTTTTAAAGATCCAGCTTTCTGTTTGCAGACTGTTGGTTCCTTGCCTGTCAAGCAGATGCACTCCAACTTTAAAGGAAATACCTCAAAACTAATTTATTCTTATGACATACTTGTTGAAGGAAAAGGAGAAGGGGGAGACAACAGTGGGTCCACACACACACCCCCCCCCCCCCTTTTCCTTCCACAACCCACATGGGAAAAAGATTACTCCATGGCAGAGAATTTGAAATTTAACAAAGGAGACATAAATAGATTGCACAGTATATTGCCTGGTATGTTTACTGTATCTCACCAGCTGCATACTAGAGAAATAAGATGAAGCCAACACAAATTTTATTTTTACTGAAATACAAGACATGAAAACAAAGAATTTTCCTCTGACCCAGTACTGAAGTTCTATTTCCATGGTAACTATGACAAAGGGGACATAGTAAAGGCTCTCTTGGATCAAGTAAAGAGTGCGGGCAAAACAGACCCAGCATCCACATCTGGAGAGAATGATGCAGCTGGGAGTCAGCAGAGGGTCTGGACGATTTTCTACCAGCAAGGAATAAAACATCTGGACAGAATGATTCAGCTGGGAGTCAGCAGAGGGTCTGGACAATTTTCTACTCGCAAGGAAGAGAACAGGCAAACTTTTAAATTAGGTTACAGATGCACCATCAATACGGCAGCTTTTTGTTGTCTACTGTGGAAGCTGATGAAACATGTATGGGGAATTTCCCAAATGCAGGATGGCAATTCTTGATTCAAACTTTTCATGGTAATTGTGCTGCAGAGCTCTCCACCTTCATTTCCAAGCTAGAAAAACTGGAGTATGCAAGATATGTGTAGAGAGAGGTATTCTTCATTATTCAGCGTAGTCCACACAGACTGGCCGTGGTTAGGCCTAAGTTTGTAATGTTTTGTTTTTCATTGTCAACAGTTAATGCCCAGAGGGAGTTTTATATGTTGCATGATTGAAACAACTGACTACTATGTACAGTCTTCCAACATAATGTTCTATTTAAGCAAACATACTAAGATATATATAAATTCCTCTGATGAGTCATACTGAAAGGGAAATACAAACAACGACTAGACTTCGACTCATAACATCATACAGGACAATTACAGGTCAGACGGTTTGTGTGTGGACAAGACAGACAGGTTGTACAAGAGTAAGTGTATGCTTAGGGTGATCAGAGTTCACAAGTTGACAAAAATGGGTAGACACACAAAAAAAAAGCAGTTGAAAGTTTTGCAAGCCTGAAGACGGTATCCGTGGCATATAATTCTGATATAGTTTGGTACAACAAATGTATTGTAGCAGATGAAGTTTCAACCTGGTGGCCATAGTTAACTGAGTGTAGTAGATACATGAGATTATTTATGCGCTTTACTATAAGCTCTGAAACAAATTGACTGATAATGTGTAACACTATTGTCAGTGTGAGCATGTTGAAAAAGTGTGACACTAACAAAATAACAGATGTACCTCTGCAACACCTGTTAGAAGGTGTCTGACGATGCCAAGCATTAATCATTCTTACATGCCAGTCTTCGGCTTTTTAATCCCCAGCAGAACACAGGTTCCTAGCCATAATGCATTAAAACATCCTATCCTTTGCCATTTTGTGCAGCTAACCCCACATCCTACCTTTTTTCACCTCTTTCTTTAATTCCTTTCTTTACATTTTGTGTGTGTGTGTGTGGTCTGATTGTATTCCTTTGACCCTATTGGATAACATACATATTCCTACAACAGCGTGTCATTGGTCCACTGAGTTACTGTGGACTGTCTGATCAAGACTTTTCCATTTCTCACAATCAGACACTGAAATTGATGTTTTCATATTTGAAGTCCATTCATTAGCCATATTTTAGATCCAAGGTGAAGCTATACTTCTTCACTGGCTGTAAACTCCAGCAGACAGTTCTGGTTGTTCGTCCATTTCTGGGCTTTTTGTATTGAGTTTTGCATGCACATCCGTGTTACACAAGAATGAAGGCTGCTGGAAATTACCTATGCCATATTACATGGACTTTCTGAAGACAAAAAATGAGGATGTAAGCTTTATTACATAACAAAGGGAACAATTAATGAGCTTAGCAATAACCTTGAAATGTTGCTGGAATCTTTCAGTGGTGTTTGGGCAGGCTCAGGGTCATCATACAACTTAGAGAGAAGCTGCTTTGCCAAGTGTTTCACTTCAGCACCTTTCTCTCCTCTGCAAAACAAATGAGACTGCATTTGTACCTGTGATAATCTGTTGTTAACATTTTTTATTTCCAATTTAATTATAAATTAAAACTATAAAACAAACCGCTAAGGACATTTGTGTTTTCATGAGCAGTCTGTAGATCTGCTATTAAAACTCTAATTAATAGGACAACACAGTTCTCGTTAAAAGTGCTTGAGGTTTTTGTGTGTATGTTTTCATCTTTTTAATCCAATTTTTTTTTTAAATATCAAGAAGGGGAGGAAGTGATCTTGTCATATATTTGGGGTGTGGCTGAAAGGGGGGGGGGGGGGGAAGAGAAAGCACATAAAAAAAAAGAGTTGAAAAACCAATGTTGTAGTCCATGCCAAGTTGCACTGGTAATGTCTGTCCAGTTTTTCTGCCCTGTATACTGTCCATTATATCTGACACAGATGCTCTTTCAATGGTCTAGTATTTTTTTTTTCTTCTTGTCTCTTTCTGTCTTTCCAATTTTTCCCATTGTCCTGTCGTACTTTAATTTCTCTGCCTCATAATCTTCCAAGAAAATTTAGACTAAGTTCTTCTATTGCGAATAAACAGTTATCTTTGTGAGATAATTTTTTTTTCCAAGATTTAATTACACTTCTTAATCTGCCAGTAATGTTCACATAATGTGTCTATAATACAACATGTTTGCAACTTTCACATATTTTACTAATTGGCTGACTGTCCATGATTGCCTTCCATACACCAGGACTAGCTCTATCCTGCTCTTGAGAAATCTCTTTTTTTTTTAACCTTTGTTGACAAAGACAGATGGCATAGAATATTCTTCACTCTGTGAAGTGCTGCTTCTGATTGAGCTATTCTAAATTTAACTTCTTTAACACATGTTTCACCTATTGTTTATTTGGGCTCCCAAGTACTAAACATATCAGCCTGCTTCATACTTGTCCTGTTTACTTTCAGTTGCATTTCTGGGGACACTGTAGTTACTATTACTTTTCTGCTGCTCAAACAAAGAACTTTGTTTACCCTGAATGCTAGTAACAAATAATGTTTACCTGTTTAACAGCTTTTCTAGCTGATCCAGCATCCCAACATGATTCCTCAGTATAGACTTGGCTTCAGAACTTTCACCAAGTAATAGAAGAATCTACAAAAACAAATACGCACTTTGAGCATGCAATTACATTAAAAGTGAGTATGCACACAGACTGCTTTCTCTCCATTAGCAATATCAAAATCTACACTGATCCTGCATTAACCAATTCACGCGAGGATGTGATCAGTTTGGATTTGAATGTGATTCCAACAAGGAGAGACACAGGATGTAATGACTATTATGTGAAATATTCAAGAACACATGGTCTTGATTTTTTTTAAAAACAAATCATATAAGTTTTTAAAAGCAGAAGGATCAGCTTGCTTTCAATTGGTTTTTTCCTCGTGTGGGTTCAAGGGTCCTATTATAGGGAAAACAAGAATAGACCCACTGCCTAGTCAAAAGCATGTCGCAAGAGTTGAAAATTGGGAGTTTTGTTTTTTTCGAAGTCGGAGTGCATCTGCCTGAGAGGCAAGGAACCAACAGTCTGTATACAAATGAGTCACATTTGTCAAATGGATGCACACGCAAAACTGAGGTTCTGAAACAGGACTGCAGTCCAGAAATGGATGAACAACCAGAACTTTCCACCAGAGTTTACAGCTGGTGAACGCAAAGAAGAATAAGAATTGGTTTTTACCCCTATGGCCTGGTCTTTCTCAGCAAAATGCTGAATTAAGAATCAACATTACAGTACTCGAGACATTCTTATAAGTGCTCCATCCCCATTTTCAGCAGCAAGTGCAGAGTTCCAATTCTGATGGCACCCTTAACAGTCTGTATATACGTCACGCTTTTCCCTTGAGTGATGAGTATCTGCCAGATCCCCCGGTCGCTGCTTACAGCACCATTCTCCTTAGACTATGATGATCTGTTTGTGTTTCTGCACTGCTCCCTCGCTCCCAAAGGATTTTTACAACATCTAGCTTGTCATGCATCAATTCCCCATCAAGTGGTGCAAAACCATCCAATCTATCTGTCTGTTACTTCCCAACAAACTGACATACCTGGAGAAAATATCCAAAACATGCTAACTATCAAGGACTTCAGAAGCCATGCTCACCACTCTGCACGGAGCATACCTGTGTCCACCTTTCTCAGCGTGCTCTGTGAGTCAGTGACAATTACAACATGTGTTTACAGCTGGTTCTCAAATCACTGGAAGGCTGCAGTAATTGCCTCCACCTCTGCTGGAGGTGGTATTATTATGTTGTGGTATTTTATGCCAGGCTTTAGTGCACTAAGCGTCGACTATGAACCCAAATGCACTTCATCTGCCTCACAACACAGAGTTATCTGGATAGATAATCACACCACGTAGGTGGCAATTCTCATGAATCATTTGTTGAAATTGATTCGATAGCGTAAACTGGCTGGTACCTGCACTCACAGCCCAATGTGATTAGTACCCTACACACGTCTGATTGTGGCTTGGACACTTTGACCCCCTCTTCTCCAAAATCAGCAACAAACTTATAGCAGAGACAAAGATTATGCAGTTTTCTTTTTCTTCCAAGATTTGCTAGTACTGGTGTCCTTTGGGTGTGGGGGGGGGGGGGGGGTGAACAGACCTACTGCTCCCTAGCAAGCATGTCGTAAAATACAACTAATTAGGACTTTGCTTAAACGGGATGTGTTGCACCAATAGACACAGATATTGCAGCCTATCTGTAAACCACAACACAACTTGCCAATCACCCTTTTAAAGGTGAAAAGCAGAAGTTATGATTTCTAAGATTCCATATAAAAGTAACTTATTAAAATACATTAAATAACAAATATTACAATAAATACACTACTTGCAAAGCCTCTTGAACCACACAGTAATTTGCATTGGATAACACAATCACAAGTCCACCAATGCATGTTGCATCCTGCAAGGATTTGTAAGAAATATTACCTTCATAAACAGGGACATTTTACTGAATATATATTCAACATCAACAACAACATTTTGTCACTCTGCAATAACATCTGATCATTCTGCATTAACAGAAACATTTTACTCAATATATATTTCACACACAAAAGGACATTTTAATGCTATCCAAAAAACACATGATCTTTCTACATAAACCAAAATGTTTTACTCAGTAAATATTCACCATAAAAAGGATATTTTACTGCTCTGCTAGAACACCTGCAATTAAATTATTCTTTTTTTTTTTTTTTAAAGTCAGTTTTTGCAGTTACCTGGAGACAGTTAACAGAATAATTGTAACTGCTACAGTTTTATATACAGAAGCAACATTTCTCTGTGGATATACACACTCATAGTTAAGTTTCTTTTCTTCCTCTTTGTGATCAGTGTAGCCTTCATAAAAGGGTATAGTCAGCAGCCAAAGTTTGTCCTGGATGCCTTTTCCCTCTGGTCATGTGCTTTCTTGCAGTTTTCCTGTAAGGGGCCAGTTCTGCAGCATGTGCTCATGTGTCTGGAGTGCGTTTTGGCAGGGACACCAGGCAGACCATGCAGCCTTCCTTCAGAGCATTTGTGCACTGAGACTGCAGTGTGCTGTTTTTAGTCAAAAAATTGCGGTGTGCTGCCTTCTGTTTAGTCTGCTGACTGGATGTTGGCTGTTTGTTCTCTGCCTCAATAAGTTTTTGTACTTCTCCGTGAACAGTGCTGGAATCCACTTAGAATAACCTGGATGGTCTCTGAGAGTTAGTAGGTCATCTCGTTTTTATGTTATCTTGTGGTTCTCTCAGTGTGGTCTGGAGGGCTGGCATATAGTTGTATAAAACTGGAAATGAGGGCGAATGGCAGAAGTATTGCGTAGCAGAGCCTGCTGACGCTGGGGGTGAGTATCTGCTTAAACACAATGCAATGACATCAACTTTGCCTCATACCTGCGACCAAAATCACCACACCACTGTTGGGTCTTTTAAAAGTGAAGTTCAAAATACATGATCTGGTACTACAAATGTGTTCCACACAAAAATATAGTCATGCTTATGTGTATATTTAATAAATATGTTTTAAATGAACAAGTCTGTTTCATTAGTTTTCTGCATTTATTATATTTTCTTAGAAAACAAATTCTGAGAACATCTAGGTGTCTGCCTGCAATTATAAAGACAGGATTAATCAAATATAATGTGCATATAGCCATGTGGGCAATCACAGAAATAAGTGTGGGGGGAGGGGGGTCCCCCTCTTCTATCTTTTAATGGAGCACAGGTCCTCTACCAACTTGCAGCAAGTCCTCCAGTCCTTTGCCTTCACTTGTGACTCACTCCATGTTCTCTCCAACTTATTCTGTCTTTACTACCTACATTTAACACTTTTAGGGCGGTAGAGAAGTGAACCTGAGGATTTAAGGCTGCATAGCTTGTGCAGCTGCCCTGAACCATGCAGGTTAGGATTGATTTTTTTTCTGCCCTCAACAGGAAAAACTCTCCACCCCTTAAGAAGCCGGGCCTCCCGCATAAGAGCCCAGAATTCTAACCATTCTGCCATTAGTGCCTCTTATCTTATTCCATTCTCATCTTACTGTCTTCTCCTTTTATTTATTTGGCCTTGTTGGTTACAGGACCATCTAGCATTATTATTATCATCATCAAGTTTTTTTTAATGTCTTACGTCCAATGCCAACATAAATTCATAATATAAAACTAATATTTAAAAAAACGCACCTTTGCAAGTGCTAATCTTTTCTTAGGGTCTACTGCCATTGCCTTCAAAGCATCTAGGGTATCCATGTTGACCATAATAGATGTCCTGCTTTACTTCAAGCTTTCTGTCAATGTAAGATATTTTTAAACAGAGACATTATAAAAGACAAATCAATCGCTGAAAGTACTAAAGAATAATGTGACACACAAATTTACAGAACTCAAACAGACTCTTTTTCTTCTTCTGAGTCTGCCCTTAAAAGGGTGGTTGCCATGCTGTGTTGTGGTTTACAGCTAGACTGTGAGTGCAACTATTGGCAGAACACACCAGATTTAACAAAACTCCTAGTTGCCTTTTAAAACATGCACCGGCCTATTCTTTTTTTTTTCTTTTGAACCCACAGAGAATCAGTAAAATCAGTTGAAATAATAGAAACAATCCATCCTAATTTCACTTAAGTAGCTTAGGTGTTTTTATTTACTTATTTTCAGTGAATACTACCCTATGTTGAGGAGGTTCTGCATACTGAGGTTTTATACTTCAAGCAGCATGTCAGTCCTTCTAAAAACTTGCCCCTGAAAAGCACCCACCTGTGATTGTCACCAACTACTTGCTGCAAGCTTCCATGTCTGCTCTTAATTTTTCACAGGTATATCATTAATCATGAGCAGGACTATTCCTAACAACCACTTATCTATGGCGATTTGTCCTTACCATTTAATGTCAATGTCTGCTTTCATTCTTTCTACACCTCCCTGACTTACGGCCTATGCGACTTATGACCTGTGTCACTTATGAACTATGCCCCTTACAACCTATGTGACTTACGAGCATCCACACTTATGACCATACAAATAATAGTAAATAAAGAAAGACAGCTACACTGGTAGGTTCATAAAGTTCCCGGAACTGATGTAGTAGAGTATATATTATATACTTTTCCTTTTATGTACAATAATTTTAAGTACACATCCCTATGTAGGTTGTGGGATTCCATTTTGGGGGAGGGGGGGCAGTTATAACAGAACAGAACTCGGACGTAAAATAAAATGTATATTTTCAAGTTACACCAGACATGGATTGGTCTTATATATTTATGGGGAGATTTCTTGCCCCATCTGTATGGTATTTTTTGTATCCTTTTTTGAAGTGGGTTCATTTGTTTTGTTGACTATGCCTGTAATAAGTGGTGTGTGTTTCTTCTCGTTGTCTAGGCAGTGTTCATGCGTGTGTGGTGGATGATCTTCTCACACGCTCCACGTTACACAACTGGCACAAGCCGACACCGATGAGAGCTTACGAGACATGAGTTTATTGACGTATTTACACTTACGTAAAAAAGAGGTCCAGTCGTTGTCCTAGTAAACAGCTCTCGCACACAAACTAAACGCAGCCTTCAACGAGCAGTCTTCTTCAAGCATTCACTGACCAAAGTCGGCTCCCATGGATTCACGTTGAGGTTCTGGCCATCTCACACACTGGCATGGTCGATCTCGGCTTCACACTTCGTCGGCAGGATCTCCTTTCTCCACAAGCACTCTTTATGTTGACATTCTCATTTTCAGTCGCTCGTCCTCTCACTCCAACAGGTCGACACAAACTAAACTTGACCAGAGTCAAGTCTGACTTATACCACGGGCTAGTTTCACGTGATAACACATGGTGGTCCTTTACTTTTCCCGTGGCGACCTTTGGTCGCGTTCTCGTGGTACCCGTGATAACTAGCGGTCATCACCTATCTCAAGATTCTCGTTTAATCCGAGTATCCGGACTATCTCTGTGTTTTAGGTCAGCTTTGGGCCTTCCCCCCAACCATCCTAAACTGGGTGAAAATATCCCCCATTGCAATACCATTTTGGCTTATATATCTGGCTCCTCTGCAAAAAAATTGTTTCACAAATTTGTTGGTTTCTTCATCTTTTTTAATGCAATTTAAAAAAAAAAATGTGCAGGCCTTATTTTGGTTTATATTTCTTGCATGACATCACTTCAGAGGTCCCGGGAAGTTAGCATCCTTTGGATATTTTCTCCAGGTGATGCCGGTGTGGTGGGAAATAAGCAGGCAGATATACTGACCGGTTCTGCACATTTTGGTGGTTAACTGATGTATGACAAGCTGGATGTTGTGAGTGCCCTTTGGGAGCGAGTAAACAGTGCCAAGGAAAAGACAGATCATTACGGTCTGAGAAGAATAGCACTGCCAGGAGTTACAAGGGGATCTGGCTGACGCTCGACATTCAGGGGAAAAGCGAGATGGATATACAATCAGACAGTTACTGGTACTATCGGAATTGTAACTCTTCGCTTGCAGCTGAAGATGGGGGCGGACTGCTTAGGGGGGGTGTCCAAAGTGCTGTGATGTCAATTCTTAATTCAACATTTTTGAATGACATCAGTGTTCCACTGTTATAACTTGTCTTACATATAACTGTATTTTTTATACATGGCATTCCCTATTTTGTCTCTATAATACTTGTAGTTATAATAAACATTTTCCAGTTTATTTATACTATAACATTGTTGTTGACAGGAATTGTTGAATTTTTTTTCTAACTTGTCTACATTTACTTTTAAATTTTTTTTTAAATTAAATTCTTAAAATGTGATGCCTTCTTTTATAAAACAGTAGTGGCTATGCGTACCAATGGTTTAACCAAAAATAGTAGTTGGTTATCCTCCGAATAACGGCCACATATTTTGGCGGCCAAAAACAGGGCCTCAGTCACATGTAAATTGAAGATTTCCGGCGACTATACCACCACCGCTGAGAGTGTCGAAGCGGGGCTAAACCAGATTGCTAAGACTCACGAGCAAAGCTGCAGGAGATGCGGAAGCTGCTGGTCATGAGTCCCAGCCATCTAGTTTAGCCCTGCTCCGCAGGAGATACTCTGCAGTGGCGGTATAGTCCCCGGTCTGCAATTTAAGTCACTGGAAGTCCGCATTTTACATGTGACGGAGGCCCTGTCAGGGTATGTTTTTGGCCGCCATAATATGTGGCCGTTATTCAGAGGATAGCCAACTACTGTTTTTATTAACATTTTGATCCCAATTCAATTCCAATGTTAGTTTTTGTCACAATAATGACCTATCAATATATAAACTCCCCCGTGTGGGTTCCGGGGCCCCTTTGTGGGAAAACAAGAATAGACCCACTGCCTCCCCAAAAGCATGTCGTAAGAGTCGACTAATTGGGGAGCTTCCTTTGAAGTCGGAGTGCATCTGCCGGAGAGGCAAGGAACCAACAGTCTGTATTCAAGAGAATGAGATCTGTAAAACTGATGCACACGCAACACTCAGGTTCTGGAGCAGGACTGCAGTTCAGTAGTGGACGAGCAACCAGAACTTTCCGCCAGCTGGTGAACGCGAAGAAGAAGAATATATAAACTTTAACCAGAGGGTCTGGCCGGCTCACTACACTTAGAGGAAAGGCAAGACGGACATTTAACCAGATTTCATTGTGACCGGTACCAGTACCATCAGAGTATTGCAGCAATAATTGCTGGCTGCTGAAGATGAGACCTCTTGCAGGTCAATCACACAATACACATTCTCAATATTTTCTAATCGGTCTTTACTCACCATTAGATGTAATACTGTTCCAGCAAATGGTAATCAAATTATGATAGTTGTTCTGTTCTGATGACGCCAGTTACGGCCATAGACTGACCAAGTAAAAAGTTGTGACAAAACGTAATTTGGCAATGACAATGCTAGGCTCGAAGCGAAAGAAGTTCAAGAATTTTCATCAAAAATGTTTGAAAAATCTTTACAAAATGTAGTAAATATAATAATAACAAACAAAAAACAGAAAACGAGAATTGTGCATTAGGACTGCAACATTTACAAAGGGTGGGTGAAAGTAAATGTATGATCTACCTGAATAGTATTAAAATACAGCCTAGTGCCGCTGAAACAAATGGACGTGATTCCATTGGGTGAAACTAGGAGAATGTAGGCGCTATTGACATTTGCCAGGTGACACACGCGTTTCCTGTTCAATGAACAGATCAAACGTTGTACTGTCCTTGTTTTACATTCTGTTCTTTACAAGTCAATCAATACTTTAAATTTTGTATCAGCTATAGTGTAGCCCGAGTATACAAAGATTATATATATTATTTAATAGTTAAAAAAAATTAACGTATAAATTAAATGTAATATGTGTCACATTTCAGGTACCCTGTGCAAAAACGGTTTCCTAACGAAACGTTTATAGCCTTTTTTACGAGTACGTTCTTTGTCCATCACGAGTTATGAAGACCACTTTCATCCAAAGTAGTATTGATCAATGATTATGAGTACGAAGGTGGTTGATTAGTCAAATATGATTTAAGCCGCAGTACGTGTGGGATTAGCAGTACGATTCTTTCTAGTCTTCCTTCGTTTCTCTGCCTGTGCAACCTCTGCTGCCTGGCAGGCCGATGCACCGTGCCTGAGGAACGTACGCCATACAGAACGGTCTTGTGCAGCAGCCTCCCACGTCGCTGTGTTGAAGTCCAAAGAATAGAGAGCAGTCTTGATAGTGTCCTTATAGCGCTTTTTCTGTCCTCCCTAGGACCTCTTCCCTTGCTGGAGCTCGACATAAAATACTCTCTTTGGGAGGCAATATTCGGCATGCGGGATAGGTGACCAGCCCAACGCAGCTGATAATTCTTCAGTATCGTATGAATGATAGGCAGGTTTGCCCTATCAAGAACCACAGTATTTGGGATCTTATCTTGCCATTTGATTTTGAGCAGCTTTCTGAAACAGGTTATATGAAAATGATTCAACTTTTTAGCATGGCGCTGATACACAGTCCACGTTTCGCAAGCGTAGAGCAGTACTGGAAGAATTATTTACGAGAACAAAACCCTCATAATAGCACTTGGGACATTCGTATAAGCGCCCTGTCCCCATAATCAACAGCATAACGATAATACACCCAGGTTTGCATACGTGGTATTAACTGAGTTAAGTCGAATTAGGAGCCGACGTTACAAAACTCGAGACATTCTTATAAGCGCTATGTCCGTACCTTCGACAGCCAACGCACAGTTTCATTTTCGATAGCATTGAGGGTTTGAACAGGGTATCGTTGTTTAGTGCTTCTACT